GATTCCAAAAATATATGGTTTATATATACTTTTGCCTGTAAAAAGGGAGATAATTGGCTACTTCCGGTTTAGAAAATGTCACTTTCGGTCTCATTTGATAGCTTTATTTACACTGATTCCAAAAATATATGGTTTATATATACTTATGCCTGTAATAAGGGAGATAATATGCTACTTCCGGTTTATAAAATATCACTTCCGGTCTCAAATGATAGATTAATGTATGACCATTCAAAAAATATATGGTTTCTATGTACTTCTACATGAAATAAGTGCAAAAATGACTACTCCCGGTTCACTCAAGGTCGCTTCCGGTTGACATTTTTCAAGGTCATATGTCACCCAACATTTTGCAAAAGATCTTATGGCTTTAACATGTACCAATATGAAGTAATAATCAATTTACCTTAAAATAAAACATTTCAGGGGCAATAACTCCAATAAGATGTCGCTGGATTGTCTCAGACCAAATGTATTATATCTTCATCACAATATAACAAACATTTTGCACTAGTTCTTTAATATATCACATTAAAAATATCGGAGAAAATGCAAAAACAAGCAAAAGACAAAATTCAGAACATGACCTTGACCTTTGACCTTGACCTCATTTTTGAAATTAGGATCCAAGGACCTTAAATAAAAAGACTATAGGTTTATACGGCTTACAGTTTATGAGTAACAAAAACATAACGACAAATTTATTTGATAAAGGTAGATAACTCCTATAAAATTTCATCGAATTGCTTCGATCCAAATTAGCCAAAAATTTCTGAGGATGTAACGAACAATTCAGAAAAAGAATTTTGTCGATATCTTTTTTTGTTACGAAGGAGATGCACACACTTGATAAACAGTGAATAGGGAGATAACTCTTACAAAGATAATTGTTCGGCTTAGCAGGGTAAAATTTAAAAGCGCATAAACTATACGATACAATATGAGAAATATCTAAGCGACATATTGCGAAACAAATATTTATCGCACGAACAAAATTTGGCGGAAGAAAAAAAAAAAAATAATAATAATAATAATAATAATAATCAGAACAAATACAATAGGTCTTTCCACCGAAAAGTGGAAAGACCTAATAATCAGAACAAATACAATAGGTCTTTCCACCGAAAAGTGGAAAGACCTAATAATCAGAACAATTACAATAGGTCTTTCCACCGAAAAGTGGAAAGACCTAATAATCAGAACAATTACAATAGGTCTTTCCACAGAAAAGTGGAAAGACCTAATTATAAGAAACGGGACAAAAACATAAAGTCCCAAAAACACCGTTTTGGCGACTTAACTAGATTTGTAATTGCTGGCAATAACGGATGGCACCCTTCCCCCATTGCCAGGCGAGCAGCAGCCATTTAGAAAATTCCAAAGTCAAAGAGTGCATCTACTCATGCAAATTATCATTTTTGTAAAGTTTCATTAAGTTTGGAACATTTTGAACTTTTAGACATTTTTGCTGTTTCCATGGTTACCGCGGCCATTTTGAAAATTCCAACTTCAAAATGCAACTCTGCCCATGCCAGTTACTATTTCTGTAAAGTTTCATCCAGTTTGCATCATTTTCATTTTTTTGGAAATTTTGGACATTTTTGCTGTTTCCATGGTTACAGTGGATAATTCCAAAATTCTAAAAGCAGACATCTCATTGCCTCATGTCATGTTATATATCAATACAATTTCATTGACTTTGATGGAATACTCTTTAAGGAAATGCTGATTTTATGCATTTTCACATAGGGTCAATGTTAAACTTGCCCACAGTTTCCATGACAACGGCGGCCATTTTGGACTATCCAAATATTGTCTTGACATCTTAGCATACTGGGTAACAGTTTCATAAAGTTTCATTCAGTTGGGTGTTATAACGAAAGAGTTAGAATTTTTTATATTTCAGCTGTTTCCATGGTAACGGCAGCCATTTTGAAAATTCCGAAGTCAAACTGCAAATCAGCACATGCCAGTAACCATTCCTGTGAAGTTTCTTCCAATTTGGAACACTTTGACTTTTTTTCGCATTTTTGCTGTTTCCATGGAAACGGCGGCCATTTTTTACCATTCCATAGCAAGGTGCACAACTTTACATGGGGGTCCTCATTATAGTAGAGTTCCATCAACATTGGTCCATTGGATTCCAAGATCTCGCGCGGACAAAATGTGTGGAAGAAAAATAAGAAAAAAAAGAAACGTAGAATAACAGTATGTCACCCCAACTCCGTTGAGGGTGCCATAAATATAAGAAAAAAAGAAACGTAGAATAACAATATGTCACACCAACTCCGTTGAGGGTGCCATAATAATAATGATAAGAAACGGGAAAAAAACATAAAGTCCCCAAAACTCCGTTTTGGCGACTTAATAATAATAATAAGAAACGGGACAAAAACATAACGTCCCCAAAACTCCGTTTTGGCGACTTAGTAACTAGATTTGCCATTGCAAGCAAAAGCGGATGTCACCCTTCCCCCCATTGTCTCTAAGCGGCAGCCATTTTGAAAATTTTAAACAGTGAATGGACATATATGCATGGCTTTACATCTTTCTGTAAATTTTCAGAACATTTGGAGCAATTTGAAATTTTTACACATTTTTGCTGTTTCCATGGCAACGGCGGCCATTTTGGAAATTCCAAAGCCAGAAGTCTCATTTATACTTGCCAGTTAACATTTATATTAAGATTCATAAAGTTTGGAGCATTTTGAAATTTTTGACATTTTTGCTGGTTTCCATGGTAACAGAGACCATTTCCAAAATTTTAATGACAGATGCCACATTGGTACATTGGAGGGAACATACCATCAAGGTTTCAATGGATCTGACCTAACATTTTAAGAGAGGAAATGCTACATTAAGGTTTTTGGATCATTTTAACCTGTTTTGCATTGTTTCCATGGTAACGGCAGACATTTTTGAAATTCCAGCGCCAAATTCCACATCTACCAATGTTGCTCATCATTACTGTGAAGTTTCATTAAATTTTGAGCATTTTGATATTTTTGAAATTTTTGGTGTAGTTTCCATGGCAACATAGTAGTTCCAGTGATTGCCAAAATCATCCAAAACCAGTATATAGTGGGCACCCATATTGTATTAAAATATCATGATTCTAAGTTTATGCATATCCAAATAATCCAACAAAGTCAAAAATTTTATTTTTTCTCCTTTCTTTGGTTTCCATGGTAACGGTGGCCATTTAAAAAATTCCAAAGGTGTCGTGCATAACTAGAGTTGGTGCTCATTTTGGTATCCATTCAATATAATTGGTCCATTAATCTATGAGAAAACTGGCGGACAAAAAAAGGTGGAATAATAATAATTATAACTAGATTTGTAATTGCCAGCAATAACGGATGGCACCCTCGTCCCCCCATTGCCAGTATAATGGCAGCCATTTTGAATATTCAAAAGTCGAACATCGCATCTGCATATGCTAGTTACCATTACGGTAAATTTTGAGAAAATTTGGAGCATTTTGAAATTTTTGAAATTTTTTATGTTTCCATGGTAACGATGGCCATTTCCAAATTCCAAAAGCAGACGACACATTGGCACATGGCATGTTACATATTCATACAGTTTCATTGATCTCTATGTTATATTCTTTAAGAAAATGCAGCTTTAATGTATTTTCCCATAGGGTCAATGTTAAACTTTCGCCCTGTTTCCATGACAATGGCGGCCATTTTGGAATTTCTAAATACTGTCTGCACATCTAGGCTTACCAAGTAACATTTCCATAAAGTTTCATCCAGGTAGGTCTTATAATGAAAGATTTAAAATTTTGAAATTTTTTCGCATTTTAGAAGTTTCCATGGTAACCATGGCCATCTTGCACATTCCAAAGTCAGAGGGACAACTTTGCATGGTGGTCTACATTATACCATAGTTCCATCAACTTTGGTCCATTCAATTCTGAGAATTGCCCCGGACAAAAATAGTGGAAGAAAATTAATAATAACTAGATTTGCCATTGCAAGCAATTGCGGATGGCACCCTTCCCCCATTGCCAGGCGAGCGGCAGCCATTTAGAAAATTCCAAATTCAAAGAGTGCATCTACACAAGCAAATTATCATTTTTCTTAAGTTTCATAAAGTTTGGAGCATTTTGAACTTTTAGACATTTTTGCTGTTTCCATGGTTACCGCGGCCATTTTGAAAATTCCAACTTCAAAATGCAACTCTGCTTATGCCAGTCACAATTTCTGTAAAGTTTCATCCAGTTTGCAGCATTTTTATTTTTTTGAAACTTTGGACATTTTTGCTGTATCCATGGTTACAGTGGATAATTCCAAAATTCTAAAAGCAGACATCTCATTGCCACGTGTCATGTTATATATCAATACAGTTTGATTCACTTTGATTTTATGCATTTTCCCGTAGGGTCAATGTTAAACTTGCCCCCAGTTTCCATGACAACGGCAACTATTTTGGAAATTCCAACACCAGTTACCACTTCTACACATGCCAGTCAACATTATTGTGAAGTTTCATTAAGTTTGAAGCATTTTGAAAATTTTGAAAATTTTGCTGCTGTATCCATGGTAACATAGAAGTTCTAATGATTGTGAAAATCATTTAAATCCTGTATATAATGGACAACTACATTGTATAAAAATTTGATGATTTCGAGTTATAGCATACCCACATTATTCACCAAACCCTTAAGTTTTTGGAGCATTTTGACCTTTTTGCCTTGTTTCCATGGTAACGGCAGACATTTTCGAAATTCCAATGCCAAATTTCACATCTCCCAATGTTGCTCACCGTTACTATGAAGTTTCATTAAATTTGAAGCATTTTGATATTTTTGAAATTTTTGGTGTAGTTTCCATGGCAACATAGTAGTTCCAATGATTGCCAAAATCATACCAAAACCAGTATATAGTGGGCACCTACATTGTATTAAAATATCATGATTTTTAGTTTAAGCATATCGTAATAATTCACCAAAACCAAAAACTGGATTTTTTTCACGTTTGTGTAGTTTCCATGGAAACGGCGGCCATTTTTTACCATTCCATAGCAAGGTGCACAACTTTAAATGGGGGTCCATCAACATTGGTCAATTGGATTCCAAGAACTCGCGCGGACAAAAATGTGTGGAAGAAAAATAATAAAAACTAGATTTGCCATTGCAAGCAATAGCGGATGGCACCCTTCCCCCCATTGCCAGGCGAGCGGCACCCATTTAGAAAATTCCAAAGTCAAAGAGTGCATCTACACATGCAAATTATCATTTTTGTAAAGTTTCTTGAAGTTTGGAGCATTTTAAAATTTTGGACATTTTTGCTGTTTCCATGGTTACGGCGGCCATTTTGAAAATTCCAACTTCAAAATGCCAGTTACCATTTCTGTAAACTTTTATCAAGTTTGCAGCATTTTGATTAATTTTGGAATTTTGGACATTTTTTCTGTTTCCATGGTTACTGTGGATAAATCGAAAATTCTAGAAGCAGACATCTCATTGCCACATGTCATGTTATATATCAATACAGTTTCATTGATTTTGATGAAATACTCTTTAAGAAAATGCTGATTTTATGCATTTTCCCATAGGGTCAATGTAAAACTTGCCCCCAGTTTCCATGACAACGACAGCCATTTTTGACTATCCAAATATTGTCTTGACATCTTAGCATACTGGGTAACATTTTCATAAAGTTTCATCCAGATGGGTCTTATAACAAAATGTTAGAATTTTTGATATTGTAGCTGTTTCCATGGTAACGGCAGCCATTTTGAAAATGCGAAGTCAAACTGCAAATCAGCACATGCCATGGTTACAGCGGCCATTTTGAAAATTCCAACTTCAAAATGCAACTCTGCCCATGCCAGTTACTATTTCTGTAAAGTTTCATCCAGTTTGCACCATTTTCATTTTTTTTTGGAATTTTTTGACATTTTTGCTGTTTCCATGGTTACAGTGGATAATTCCAAAATTCTAAAAGCAGACATCTCATTGCCTCATGTCATGTTATATATCAATACAATTTCATTGACTTTGGTGGAATACTCTTAAGAAAATGCTGATTTTATGCATTTTCACATAGGGTCAATGTTAAACTTGCCCCCAGTTTCCATGACAACGGCGGCCATTTTGGACTATCCAAATATTGTCTTGACATCTTAGCATACTGAGTAACATTTTCAAAAAGTTTCATCCAGTTGGTTCTTATAATGAAAGAGTTAGAATTTTTGATATTTTAGCTGTTTCCATGGTAACGGCAGCCATTTTGAAAATTCCAAAGTCAAACTGCAAATCAGCACATGCCAGTTACCATTCCTGTGGAGTTTCTTCCAGTTTGGAACACTTTGATTTTTTTCGCATTTTTGCTGTTTCCATGGAAACGGCGGCCATTTTTTACCATTCCATACCAAGGTGCACAACTTCAGATGGGGGTCCTCATTATAGTTGAGTTCCATCAACATTGGTCCGTTCATTTCTGAGAACTCGCGCGGACAAAAAGTGTGGAAGAAAAATAATAAAAACTAGATTTGTAATTGCTAGCAATAACGGATGGCACCCTTCCACCATTGCCTGGCGAGCGGCAGCCATTTAGAAAATTCGAAAGTCAAAGAGTGCATCTACACATGCAAATTATCATTTTTGTAAAGTTTCATTAAGTTTGGAGCATTTTGAACTTTTGGACATTTTTGCTGTTTCCATGGTTACAGCGGCCATTTTTTATCCTTCCATAGCAAGGTGCACAACTTTACATGGGGGTCCTCATTATAGTAGAGTTCCATCAACATTGATCCTTTGGATTCCAAGAACTCGCGCGGACAAAATGTGTGGAAGAAAAATAAGAAAAAAAAGAAACGTAGAATAACAGTATGTCACCCCAACTCCGTTGAGGGTGCCATAACTAGATTTGTAATTGCTAGCAATAACGGATGGCACCCTTCCCCATTGCCAGGGTAACGGCAGCCATTTTGAAAATTCTAAACTCAAAGAGTGCATTTACACATGTCAATTAACATTTTTGTAAAGTTTGATCAAGTTTGAAGCATTTTGAAAATTTTGACATTTTTGCTGTTTCCATGGTTACGGCAGCCATTTTGAAAATTTCAAAGTCAAACTGCAAATCAGCACATGCCAGTTAACATTCCTGTGGAGTTTCTTCCAGTTTGGAACACTTTGATTTTTTTCGCATTTTTGCTGTTTCCATGGAAACGGCGGCCATTTTTTACCATTCCATAGCAAGGTGCACAACTTTACATGGGGGTCCTCATTATAGTAGAGTTCCATCAACATTGGTCCATTGGATTCCAAGAACTCGCGCAGACAAAATGTGTGGAAGAAAAATAATAAAAACTAGATTTGCCATTGCAAGCAATAGCGGATGGCACCCTTTCCCCCATTGTCAGGCGAGCGGCATCCATTTAGAAAATTCCAAAGTCAAACAGTGCATCTACACATGCAAATTATCATTTTTGTAAAGTTTCATTAAGTTTGGAGCATTTTGAAATTTTGGACATTTTTGCTGTTTCCATGGTTATGGCGGCCATTTTGAAAATTCCAACTTCAAAATGCAACTCTGCCTATGCCAGTTACCATTTCTGTAAAGTTTCATCCAGTTTGCAGCTTTTTTATTTTTTTGAAATTTTGGACATTTTTGCTGTTTCCCTGGTTACAGTGGATAATTCCAAAATTCTAGAAGAGACATCTCATTGCCACATGTCATGTTATATATCAATACAGTTTCATTGACTTTGGTGAAATACTCTTTAAGAAAATGCTGATTTTATGCATTTTCCCATAGGGTCAATGTAAAACTTACCCCCAGTTTCCATGACAACGGCGGCCATTTTGGACTATCCAAATATTGTCTTGACATCTTAGCATACTGGGTAACATTTTCATAAAGTTTCATCCAGTTGGGTCTTATAACGAAAGAGTTAGAATTTTTGATATTTTAGCTGTTTCCATGGGAACGGCAGCCATATTGAAAATTCCGCAGTCAAACTGCAAATCAGCACATGCCAGTTCCTGTGGAGTTTCTTCCAGTTTGGAACACTTTGATTTTTTTCGCATTTTTGCTGTTTCCATGGAGACGGCGGCCATTTTTTACCATTCCGTAGCAAGGTGCACAACTTTACATGGGGGTCCTCATTATAGTAGAGTTCCATCAACATTGGTCCATTGGATTCCAAGAACTCGCGCGGACAAAATGTGTGGAAGAAAAATAAGAAAAAAAAAAGAAACGTAGAATAACAGTATGTCACCCCAATTCCGTTGAGGGTGCCATAAGAATCGAAAAATAACAATATGTCACCCGACCTCAGTCAGGGTGACATAATAATAAAAATAAGAAAAAAAAGAAACGTAGAATAACAATATGTCACCCCCAACTCCGTTGAGGGTGCCATAATAAAGAAACGGAGGAAAAGCAATATGTCACCCGACATTGTCGTACGGGTGACATAATAAGAAAAAAAAGAAATGTAGAATAACAATACGTCACCCCAACTCCGTTGAGGGTGCCATAATAATAATAATAATAATAACTAGAATTGCCATTGCAAGCAATAGCAGATGTCACCCTTCCCCCATTGCCAATAAGCGGCAGCCATTTCAAGAAATGTTAACAGTGAATGCATATATATGCATGGCTATACATCTTTCTGTAAATTTTCAGTACATTCAGAGCATTTTAAAAAATTTCGCATTCTTAACGTTTCCATGGCAACGGCAGCCATTTTGATAATTTCAAAGTCAAAAGTCTCATCTATACTTGGCAGCTAACAAAAATATCAATTTTCATGACGTTCAAAGCATTTTGAAAATTTTTTGACATTTTTGAAGTTTCCATGGCAACGGTGGCTATTTTGCAATTCCGAAGTCAAAAGTCTCATCCAGACTTGGCAGTCAATAATCTTATTAAGTTTCATCAATTTTGGAGCATTTTGATTTTTTTTAAATTTTTTGATATTTGTGATGGTTCCTATGGTAACAGAGACCATTCCCAAATTTTAATGACAGATGCCACATTGGTACATGGGAGGGAACATACCATCAAAGTTTCAATGGATTTGACCTACCGTTTTAAGAAAGTAAATGCCACTTTAAGGTTTTTGAAGCATTTTGACCATATTTGCATTGTTTCCATGGTAACGGCAGACATTTTCGAAATTCCAACGCCAAATTCCACATCTACCAATGTTGCTCATCGTTACTGTGAAGTTTCAAGAAATTTGGAGCATTTTGATATTTTTGAAATTTTTGGTGTTGTTTCCATGACAACATAGTAGTTCCAATGATTGCCAAAATCATCCAAAACCAGTATATAGTGGGCACCTACATTGTATTAAAATCTAATAATTTAGGGTTGAAGCATTCTAAAATAAATCACCAAACTCCAAAATTGTATTTTTTCACCATTTTTCAGTTTCCATGGTGATGGCAGCCATTTTTTAGTTCCAAAGTTGCACTGCAACTGGAAAGTCAGGGTTCCTTGTTATAGTGAACCATCATTCAGATTGGTTCCTTTGGCTCTTAGAAAGCGGGCGGACAAAATTAGGTGGAAGAAAAATAATAATAATAATAATAGGGAAAAAGAAACAGAGGAAAAGCAATATGTCACCCGACATTGTCGATCGGGTGACATAATAATAAGAAACGGGACAAAAACATAAAGTCCCCAAAACTCCGTTTTGGCGACTTAACTAGATTTGCTATTGCAAGCAATAGCGGAGGATGTCACCTTGTACTGGACATTGTCACAGTAGCAGCAACTATTTTGAGTGTACCAAAGTCAAATGGCACATCTATTATACATGCTGGAATTGGCATGTCTTTAATCCCCCCCCCCCCCCCTTTTCTCTTCCCGTAGAATAAGTTTGAGTTCTATACATAGTTTGGGAATTCTTTATAATCTAAAAATAGACCCACGCGCGAGGAAGAACGTGGCGTCACGTGATGCGCAAGTATATTATCGTAGTTCCATTAAGATTGGTCCATGCAACTCTGAGAAAAAGCTTGGACAAAAAGTGTGGAAGAATAAAAATAAGAAAAAAAGAACGGAACAATAACAATATGTCACCCCAACTCCGTTGAAGGTGCCATAAAAAGAAACGTAGAATAACAATACGTCACCCAAACTCTGTTGAGGGTGCCATAATACAAATAAAAAAAGAATCGTACAATAACAATATATCACCCGACCTCCGTCAGGGTGACATAATAATAGGGAAAAAGAAACAGAGGAAAAGCAATATGTCACTCGACATTGTCGATCGGGTGACATAATAATAATAATAGGGAAAAAGAAACAGAGGAAAAGCAATATGTCACCCGACATTGTCGATCGGGTGACATAATAATAAAAATTAAAAAAAAGAAACGGAGGAAAAGCAATATGTCACCCGATATTGTCGATCGGGTGACATAATAACAAAGAAACAGAGGAAAAGCAATATGTCACCCGACATTGTCGATCGGGTAACATAACAAAGAAACAGAGGAAAAGCAATATGTCACCCGACATTGTCGATCGGGTGACATAATAAGAACTGAGCAAAAACAATAAGTCTTCCCAAACTTCGTTTGGGAGACTTAATAAATAATGTATCTACTATTTTATTTTAAGAAATGAAGCATCATTTACTTTCGATCATAATCAATATATTAAATTTTCGATTTTTATTAGTATCACAATTGATTTTTTAAATTCTGTGTAGATAAGTTTTGATAAGTGTGGCGAATTTGGCAGACCTATATTATATATTATCGGGATATTACCCTTTTTCATTAGTGGGGCGAGTTGGTTAACCAGAGTGGAGCGATATTTTAGAAAGTGGGGCGATTTTATAAAAAGTGGGGCGAGTTGGTGAAAAAGTGGGGCGAATTGACAATAGGGCGAGTTTTCTTGCTTCCGTATAAAATTGTACACATAAGAGCACTTACGATTCACCTTTCCATATAATTAATGTTTCCAAAGGCATAATTCTTTTAAAAATAATTGATCGGCACTGATTTTCGAACTCATCAAAGATGTTGCTGATATAAAACTATGATATAAGTTTCATAAAAATCTGGCAAGAATTGTACAAATGAGAGCGCTAAATGCAATTGTTCATATAATTAATGTTTACGAGGGGCATAACTCTTAAAAATAATTGATCCGCACTGATTTTCGAACTTGTCCGAGACATTACTGATATAAACCTACAATATAAGTTTCATAAAAATCTGGCAATAATTATACACATGAGAGCGCTTACGATGCAATTTTTCATATACTTAATATTTCTGAGGGCATAACTCTTTTAATAATAATTAATTGTTCCTGATTTTCGAACTTGTCCGATACATTGCTGATGTAAACCTACAATATAAGTTTCATAAAAAATCTGGCAAGAATTGTACACATGAGAGCTCTAACGATGGTATTTTTCATATAATTAATGTTTCTAAGGGGCAGAACTCTTTTAAAAATAATTGGTCGGCACTGATTTTCAAACTCGTCTGAGACATTGCTGATATAAACCTATGAAATAAGTTTCATAAAAATCTGCAAAAAATTGTACATGTGAGAGCGCTGACAAGACCGGATGGACAGACGCAAAGACAGACGGACCGATGGACGCCCGGTATTTCTATGTCCCCCGCAGCGCATTGCATGGGGAACAAAAAATTTACCAGTAAAACAGTTGTAAGTCATGAACATTTCAGTATAACTTATGATCAATTTCAGTCGTAAGTTTTTTGTGAAGAGCCCCAGGGCCTCATTGATCTATAACAAGAAGATCCTATCAAACTTAAACTTAAGCAGAAAACTTAACATTCAAAAGTGCTTATTTATTCAAAGTCACTGGACCATGATATACGGGACAGGGCCTCAAAATAGTCGTAAAACTGATATGTACTGATAGTAATGCAACTTCATATAAAAGAACAGAGTTCCAATGTTCCCCGCGTTGCACATATTTTATCTATCCAAGGTACAAGGGCAATAACTAAAAAAGAGTGCACACGCTGAAATGTCTCGCCTGTTTTACTGACCATTGATTTCATATTGAAAGTCTTAAAGATAAAGATTTTACTACACATATCACATAAACTTAACATTTTTAAAGATCCATGACAATGAGGTCAAGGTCAGATAAAAAAATTGCCACACAGACATGTACACCTAACAATTATTCCATACACCAAATAAAGTTGACCCATTGAAAAACCAAACCACATAAACTTAATGTTAACCAATGAACCATGGAAATGAGGTCAAGGTCAGATGATACTGGCTAGACAGACAGGTACACCTTACAATCATTCCATACACCAATTATAGTTGACCCATTGCTATTAGTATTTGAAAAACAGACCAAAACACAAAAAGTTAACATTGCCCAATGAACCATGAAAATTAGGTCAAGGTCAGATGACAACGGCTAGACAGACATGTACACCTTACAATCATTCCATACACCAAATATAGTTGACTTATTGCTATTAGTCCTTGAAAAAAAGACCAAAACACAAAGACATATCATTGACCAATGAACCATTAAAATTAGGTCAAGGTCAGATGACACCAGCTAGTCAGACATGTACACCTTACAATCATTCCATACACCAAATATAGTTGACCTATTGCTTACAGTACTTGAAAAACAGCCCAAAACACAAAACAATAACAATGACCAATGAACCATGAAAATGAGGTCAAGGTCAGGTGAAACCTGACAGTCTGACATGTATCCTTTACAATCATTCCATACACCACATATAGTTGACCTTCTCTTGTAGTATATGAGAAACGGACCTAATCGCGTAACTTTAACCTTGATCAGATCCATGAATTGAGGTCAAGGTCAGGTTAATAGATATAAGAAGATGTGGTATGAGTGCCAATGAGACAACTCTTACCCTGTCTGATTGACATGTAGACGTTGCAAGGAACCCATATACCAAATATAGTTATCCTATTACTCATAATAAGTGAGAAATTCACATGACAAGAAAACTGTAAAATTTTTTTCAAGCAGTCACTGAAACATGAAAACGAGGTCAAGGACAATGGGCATATGACAGACGGAAACTTTGTAACATAAGTTATCTGCATACAAGGTATGAAGCATCCAGGTCTTCTAGAAACCTTCTGAAATATAAAGCTTTATACAAATAGTTTACGCCGCCGCTGCCACCTGATAATAGTAATACCTATGTCTCACATACTGCGACGCAGGCGAGACAAAAAAGCACTTTTTTTTCTTTAAGACTTTTTATTAATATCTTAGAGAAATGA